AAACGTTGTGTATTTAGGACACAATTTCATGAAATCGGACAAAAATATATAGAATCTACATCTGAGTCTGAACCGAATTAAATTAAACTTAATACACGTTATTGTAGACTTTCGCTCATAAAATTTTGGGATTTGGTGCACGATTTAGACGAAATTCTGTGTGGAAACTATATTTAAATTCAAATGGGTATTGACAAAACTCGCATTAATACACCATGTAAAATTTCGTCTCAATCGGACAATCCTTGGTAGTTTGGTGCACCATTTACATAAAATCGAACGAAATATGTAGTGGTGCTATATCTATGTCTGATCAGATTTCACACACTTTTTTAGAGTCAACTCAATACGTTTCAGAAAATCTGATGAAAATATATATAGGAGCTATATCTAAAAATCTGACCCCATTTCTACAAAACTCAACAAACAAAAACTCAACTATTCTAGACTCAGTATCCAAAATCTTGTGTCCATCGGCCAAACCTTTAGAATTAGGTGCGCCATTTATATAAAATTGGACGAAAATATACATGGGAGCTATATCAAATCTCAACTGATTTCTACAAAACTTAACACAAGCTATTCTACACTTAATTCAATAGAATTCAATAAGGTATCCAAAATATTGTCTCAATCGGACAAATTTTGAGACAATTTTTGCACCTTTTATATAAAATCGAAAGGAAATATCTATGGGAGCTAAATCTTAACAATACTTTACATACGTGGATTTATACTTAATTCAGTATTCTGTGCAAAATTGTTGTCACAATCGGAGAAAGCTTGACAGTAAGGTGCACCATTTACGTAAAATTGTACGAAAATATATATGAGGAGCTACACATATCTAAATCTGAACCGATTTCAAACTTCACATACGGCAATTTGTACCTAATTGAGTACGATGGGGTTTGCCCCATTGTGACATGGGTGCATTATTGGGGAATCGGAAAAAACTATATATGAGAGCTATATCTAAATCTGAAACGATTTTCTCCAAATTGAATAGGGTTCGTCTTTGAGCCAAATAAAATGCGATCTGTACTTTGTTGCAATTTAACATTAACAGACAGATGGATAGTGGATATGCATAAATCGACTTCCTTTGCCTGTTACAAACATATGCACAGAGACAACCAGTAAGGAAAGTAGTAAAGTCGGACGGGGCCGACTATATGATACCCTTCACCACTTTGGGTATATTCAACAGATGAATCTTAACAGACGTGACATTTTTGAAGCATCAGTAAAATGAAATTGGACCCATAAACATATCTTTCTGCAACCTATACTAATTTTTTCATTTGGTCAGATATAGAGTTGCTTCTTACAATGGGACAAAATTATGTAAATCAATTTGAAGCATATATCTGTCGGATACCCGTTGAATATTTAGATACATATCTGATAAACATGAGGAGTTTGGTGCACCATTTACTTCAAATCGGTAGAAAATATTTATAAATGCTATATCGAAATCTAAGCCGATTTCATCGAAACTTGTCACAGAATATCGGCCACATTTTGAGTTCTTAGTGCATCATTTAGTTAAAATCGGGAGAAAATATGGTAGCTCTATCCAAATTTGAACCGATTATTTAAAATCTGACGAAACTATATATAGGAACTATATCTAAATCATTCTAGACGCAATGTATTATGCTGTGCCAAATTTCGTGCAAATCGAAGGATATATAGGGACTCTGGTGCACCATATTGGAGCTATATCTAAATCTTAACCGATTTTCACGAAACTTAACACACATCATTATAGACTTTATTCAGTACGCTGTACCAAATTTCGTGGAATGATATATAGGGACTTTGGTACACCATTTTCATTAAATCGGACGAAAATATATATGGGAGCTATATCTAAATCTAAACCGATTTTTAGGAAACTTAACACACATTAACATATATCTAAATCTTAACCGATTTTCACGAAACTTAACACACATCATTATAGACTTTATTCAGTACGCTGTACCAAATTTCGTGGAATGATATATAGGGACTTTGGTACACCATTTTCATTAAATCGGACGAAAATATATATGGGAGCTATATCTAAATCTAAACCGATTTTTAGGAAACTTAACACACATCATTCTAGACCGAATTCGTTATGCTGTGCCAAATTTCATGCAAATCGAAAGATATATAGGGACTCTGGTGAACCATTTGCCTAAAATCGGACGAAAATTTATATGGGAGCTATATCTAAATCGGAACCGATTTTCACGAAACTTAACACACATCATTCTAAACTATGTTCAGTGCGCTATACCAAATTTCGTGCAAATCGAAAGATATTACGGACTTTGGTGCACCATTTACCTTAAATCGGACGAAAATATATATGGGAGCTATATCTAAATCTGACAGATTTTCACGAAACTTAGCACATATCATTCTAGACTCAATTCAGTACGCTGTGCCAAATTTCGTACAAATCGAAAGATATTTAGGGACATTGGTGCACCATTTACCTTAAATCGGACGAAAATATATGTGGGAGCTATATATAAATCTGAACCGATTTTCATGAAACTTAGCACACATCATTCTAGGTTTAATTCAATACGTTGTGCCAAATTTCGTGCAAATCGAAAGATATTTAGGGACTTTGGTGCACCATTTACCTTAAATCGGACGAAGATATATATGGGAGCTATATCTAAATCTGAACCGATTTTTCCCAATTTTAATAGGGTTCGTTCCTGGGCCAAATAAGTGACGTATGCCAAATTTCATCCAATTCGGATAATAAATGCGGCCTGTACTTTGTTCACAATTTAACATGGACAGACAGACGGACGGACGGACATGCATAAATCGACTTAGAAAGTGATTCTATGCATATTCTCAAAAGGAACCATGTGTCTATCTCGTTTGCTTTTGCCTGTTACAAACATATGCACAAAGACATAATACCCTGTACCACAGTGTGGTGAAGGGTATAAAAAAGGTATGAATAGGGGTTATATCGGGACTACCTCCAAAATGAGGTGAATATTTATAATTTTTAGTATGAACATTTGTTACCAAATAGGAATCTGAAATACCATATTGAAGCGAATTCGGTAGAAAATTGAGGCCAAACCCCTAAAATACCGATATTTTGGCGGTACCGTTACATAGTGGCTACCCAAAAAATTGGGCCAATATTGATAATTTTTGGTACCACATTAGAACCCAAGATACCAAATAACAGCCAATTCGATCGAACACTTGTCCAATTCACAAAATGTGGGCCGATATTGATACTTTTTAGTAGGGATATTTCGTAACAAATAAGAATCTTAAATACCAAATTACACCATTTCGGTTGGGAAATTTGCACAAGCTCCCCAAAATCTGATATACTGGAACTCTGAGGGTACCGTTATATGGGGTCTACTCGAAAACTTTGATCTATATTTTTAGTTTTTAATAGGGATGTATATCGCCTCCAAATATATGTTCGCCTACAAAAATCCAAAATACTGAAGTACTGCCACTTTGCTGGGAAAATGCGGCCAAAACGGAAATGCGGACAGACATATTCCATTTACCATACCATACATCTTATATCTTATGTGATTACTATCGTGGCTATATCGGCATAGAAATTTATTGTGATCAAGAATATGCATACGTCTTGGAATCTCAGTCGAATATTTTGAGATGATGCAAACGGAATGACAATTTTAAAAAATACACCACCTTATGTTGGAGAGTTTTATACCCTCCAACGTCTATACTATAGACTCTATAATATTACCAATTATATATAAGACCTTCAGGTGAAAAATTACTAAGTACTAATTATTATTATTTTTAACAGACGTTTCACATATATAATATGTTCTCAGCCGAAAATGTAAATGAAATGCAAGAACTTTGGGAATTGGGAATATTTTTTTAATGTTGCTCTGTAAATATGAACGCAATTGAATCGTATGAAATGTAGAAGTAGTAGGGTAACCATTACTCATTCTCATCATCATCTATTATGTTTTGTGTAAAAATAGGACGTTTGATTTTTAGCTGCCTAATTTCTTGAGAGTTACTAATAGATGATGAACGCAACTTCCACATTGGCCATGCGTGAAAGCAAGGCCCCACTACTACTTCAGTTCAATATTTTTTACCTTTTGCTGTTTTTGATATCCAATAATAAAAAAAATAATTTTTGTCCAATAACTGTTACCAATAGCAGTTTGAATTTAATTTATTGATTAACATTTATGTATGTATGTTTGTTTGTTTCTTTGTATGTATAATTTATTCCATGTTCTTTTCAGGATTATTAATTTGTTTAATTCATACACTCAGTTGCTTTGTTTATAAACAATGATTGGGGGGGAATGATTTGTGTCTTTGTTTTACTTTAGCTTAAATTCATTTAGGCTGTTTTTTATTTTTACTTTTATAATTTGTTTAATATTTATATATTTAGTTTTGCAATACATGAGACAATACACTGACAATAATCAATCAATCAGTAATAATAATTTGTGTTTATATGATAATAATAATAATCATGATAATACATAATGTCATAATGATACAAGAATAATGTTTTTTTTTAATAATAATTTGTATTATTATAATATATATTTTTGTTTTATGACAATTTTTACTAAGTTTAACATTTTTGTTTTATTTTTTTATATGATTTTCATTTAGTTTAAATTTAGGCTTATTTTGTATATTTGTTTTTTTATTTCATTTTTTTGTCATTTATTTAAATATATAGATTAATAATATTTAATAATTTGTAAATATGTATAATTTTCATGTTTTTTTTTCAATTTATTAAATATATTTATAATTTTTTGTTTATATCAGTTTTTGTTGTGTTTTACTATTTTTTTTATGGATTTCTTGTGGATTCTTTCTTTACTTCATTTCTGTTCTCTGGAATATGTATGTCTGTATCTTTTTTGAATTTTAAAAAACATAAACTTATTTTGTCTTTTTTACTTTTCCTTTTTGTTGTTGAATTTTGAATACTCTATTTTGTTTGTGGATTGTTTTTCGTTTTTTTTTTTTAGTGAAACATAAACACAAGGAATCTAACAATTGCAGTTAGCATTGGGTGTGCCTTGAGGTTGATCGGTCAGTCTTTGGCCTTTCTGGCCTCCGCCCACTAACGTCGGATCAGCATCTAAACTTTCGGACATTTTGTCGCAAATAATGTCGACCAAACGTTCGAAGACAGCCTGAAAAAACAAGAACAAAAATGAAATTTATAAACATATATTTTTTAAAGAATAAATACAGGGTTTTTAGGAATATTTTTTCTAGAATTCCATAAACCTGGATTTTTTTAACGAATTTTTTTCTAAGACTAACAGGCGTGGATTTTTTAAAGAATATTTTTTCAAGGCCTATATATGCGTGGATTTTTTTAAAGAATATTTTTTCAAGGCCTATATAGGCGTGGATTTTTCAAAATAGTTTTTTCAGAGACCTATATAGGCGTGGATTTTTCAAAATAGTTTTTTCAGAGACCTATATAGGCGTGGATTTTTCAAAATAGTTTTTTCAGAGACCTATATAGGCGTGGATTTTTTAAAAAATATTTTTCTGTGGATTTTTTAAAGAATATTTTTTTGTGGATTTTTTAAAGAATATTTTTTAAGGCCTATATAGGAGTGGATTTTTTAAAGAATAATTTTTCGTGGATTTTTTAAAGAATATTTTTTCAAGGCCTTTATTAGGCTTGGATTATTTAACGAATATTTTTTAAGGCCTCTCTATAGGCGTGGATTTTTTAAAGAATATTTTTTCAAAAGCTCTATAGGTGTGGATTTTTTAAATGCAGGATCAACAGCAATATAGGTGTGGATTTTTTAAATGCAGGACCACCAGCAATATAGGTGTGGATTTTTTAAAGAATACTTTTTAAGACCTCTATAGACGTGAACTTTTTATAAACTATTTTTTCTTTCCCTCTAATTAGGGTTAAATGAAATCCCAGTATATCTTACCTTAACATTCACATTTTCCTTGGCCGATGTTTCGAAAAATTCCACTCCCAATTGATCGGCCAATTGTCGACCGCGTTCAAATGAAATTACTCGCTGGTCTTCCATGTCGCATTTGTTGCCCACCAATATGACTTGTGCGTTATCCCATGAATAGGTTTTGATTTGTGTTACCCTAAATTCCAAAGAAAATGAAGAAGACAAACATTTGAATACATTCCCTTACAAACAACCAGAGATACGGTTTCTCTATCTCCCCCATTTTTTGTTTCTTACCAATCTTGTACGGAATTAAAACTGTCTTCATTTGTGACATCATACATCAAAATGAAACCCATGGCGCCACGATAATATGCTGTTGTTATTGTTCTATAACGTTCTTGGCCAGCGGTGTCCTGAAAAATGACAAGAAAGTAAGAAACAGATTGTGTAATGATGTCCTTCTCCACACTCACCCATATCTGCAGCTTAACCCGCTTGTCATGCCGAAACACAGTTTTCACTTTGAAATCAATGCCAACCGTAGACACAAAGGCAGATGTAAAACTGTCATCGGCATAGCGGAAGAGGAAACTTGTTTTGCCCACACTCGAATTGCCAATTATCAACAATTTGAACATATAATCGAAATTCTGATCGGAAGCATCTTTTTGCCATTTTGGATCACCAGCTCCGGCCATCTGTAAATAAAAATTGGGTAGAGAGGGAAGAGAGAAGTCATTAATTTTGAAATTAATATTCAAGAAGTTTGCCATTTTCAAAATTTATGTCACGTAGAAGAGATTAATGAAATCCTTGTTTTGTTGTCATCAACTTCAAGGGGGTCTTGTTCTCCTTTTTTTGCGAAGGGAGGAATAAAAGCAACAAAGATAAAGAAATGATGATTTCATAGGGTGTTTTCCATGACAAAAAATGAGGCATCCTTACACAATATTTTTAGAGAAGATTTTGTTAAGGGACTAAATCCATCAATTTCATTTTGTAAAGAATATTTTTTCAGGACTAAAAGCGTTGATTTTTTAAGAATGTAGATTTCGAGGACTAAACTAGGGGTGGATTTTTAAAGAACATTTTCTCCAGTACCAACTAAAGGCGATGATTTTTTAAGGATATTTTTTAAGGTTTCTAAAGGCGTGGATTTTTTATATAGTATTTTTTCATGGTTTCTTTGGGCGTGAGTTTAAGGTTTCAATAGGAGTGGATTTTTTTAAAAAATAATTTTTTAAGGTTTCTATAGTCGTGGATTTTTAAAGAATATTTTTGCAAGGACTCTATGAGCGTGTATTTTTGAAAGAATATTTTTTCTAGGTTTATATAGGCGTGGATATTTTGAAGAACGTTTTTTTCAAGGTTTCTATAGGCGTGGAATTTTAAAGAACGTTTTTAAAGGTTTTTATAGGCGTGTATTTTTTAAAGTTTCTATAGGCGTGGATTTTTTAAAGAAAAATTTTCAATGATCTATAGGCATTGATTTTTTAAAAAATAATTTTTCAAAATCTCTATAGGCGTTGATTTTTTAAAAATTATTTTTTCAAAGGCTCTACAGAAACTGATTTTTTAAAGAATATTTTTTCAAAGGCTTGTTTTTTAGTAATATTTTCCAAAGGCTTTTTTTAGTAATATTTTTTCAAGCACTCATTACGTGTGGTTTTTATACCCTTCACCACACTATGGTACAGGGTATTACTTTGTGCATATGTTTGTAACAGGCAGAAATAATCGAGATAGACCCATGGTTCCTTTTGAGAATATGCATAGAATCACTTTCTGAGTCGATTTATGCATGTCCGTCCGTCTGTCCATGTTAAATTGTAAACAAAGTACAGGTCGCATTTATGATCCGAATTGGATGAAATTTGGCACATCGTCCTTTGGCCAAGACGAACCCTATTGAAATTGGGAAAAATCGGCTCAGATTTAGATATAGCTCCTATATATATTTTCATCCGATTTAAAGTAAATGGTGCACCAATGTCCCTATATAGCATTCGATTTGCACGAAATTTGGCATAGTGTACTGCATTGAGTCTAGAATGATGTATTTTAAGTTTCGTGAAAATAGGTTCTGATTTAGATATAGCTCCCATATATATTTTCGTCCGATTTAAAGTGAATGGTGCACCAAAGATCCGAAAGATATATCGATTTTCACGAAATTTGACACGCGTACTGAATTAGGTCTAAAATGAAGTGTGCCAAGTTTTGTGGAAATCGGTTCAGATTTAGATATAGCTTAAAGTAAATGGTGCACCAAAGACCCTATAAATTCTTCGATTTGCACGAAATTTGGAGTCTAGAATGATGTGTGCAATGTTTCGTGGAAATCGGTTCAGATTTAGATATAGCTCACATATATATTCATCCGATTTTATGTAAATGGTGCACCAAAGTCCCTATATATATATTTCGATTTGCACAAAATTTGGCAAGGCGTACAATGATGTGCGATAAGCTTCGTGAAAATCGTTCCAGATTTAGAAATAGCTCTCATATATATTTCGTCCGTGAAAATCGGTTCAATGAAATGAAATTTAGCATAGCTTCCAGAAAGGTATAAAGATCTTATATTCAAGTTCATTCAATTTCATGCCAATGTTCTTTCGAAAAGGCGAAGTCTGTTAGGAGACAAAGTGGTGAAGGGTATCAGATAGGCGGCTCCGCCTGGCTTTATTACTTTCCTTACTGGTTTAAAGAATATTTTTTCAAGGACTCATTGGGCGTGATTTTTATAAAGAATATTTTTCTTGTACAATAACAAAAAAAAAATAAACAATAAAACCCGCTGCTAAATGTTACAGATGACCTGTCTATACCCCAATAATGTTCGTTTAATTTAGTCCAATAGTTCTCTGACAGAAATTTACCTTTACCATTTCCAAAATAATCCAATCAAATATTTTACCTTTTTATTTCACATTTATCACATATATAACCGAATTTATAACCACAATTTTTATCTCAAAATATCTTCTGCTGAGAATAGATATTGCACAAAACCCACATTTAACATAAAACTACAGTTAAACGGAATATCTACGAAAATGCTGACAGCTTTATTTCACTAGCTTTAGGATTTCATCTATCTTCGGCTGTCATTCAAACATGCCAAGGAGTTACCCCCAAAAGTAACTTAAAAGCATTACCCAAATTCATATTGTATCACAATGGGTTTCTGTCGGGTTTTTGGAGCTGAGTAATCCTCGCCCGCATTTCTTACGTCAAATGCATTTCCAAATCGATTGTTATATTTTCCGGTTATACATCTTCCTACCTCCCTTCCATACTCGATTCTCCCAACAAGACAACCACCACGACACGACAACGATGACAATTGCTGGGGCTTAAGGTGTGTTCTGGAAAATTATGGGGTTGCGAATAAGGTGTGTGTGAATGTGTGTTGTGTATCTTTAAATGTGTGTGTGTGTCTCCAAAATGCACACCGGAAATGATGAGTGAATGCAAACTCACGCTGACAGTCATGCCAAGCATTTTTCGTTGTGTTTTTCTTCTGCTTCTTCTTTTTGCGTTGTGCTATAAGTGTTTCAACCCGTTGAGTGGCACTTCGTTACTGTAACGACGTAGATGCACATGAAAAAAATACAACAATAATAACCGGAGACTAACGAATACAAATGAATAGCGATCACACACACACACAAACCCAATTCCGACTCACTCACCTACTCTTTATTATTATTCTTGAACAGAAAACAAGGATGCAGTGACACGTAGCTAAATATAAAGTGTTTCGTTTTTTTTCATTTTTTTACTTATATATTTCTATAGGATAAGGAAGCCAGGTAATGGCTGGAGAGGGAATAGGATGATGGAAAAAGTGTTGAGTAGAGAAAGGTATAAGAAAATGTGTTGTAGGTTATGGAATGGCTATGATGCAATCTTGTTCTGGTATGTTTAATAAATTACAGTGGAAAATGTGGATAAATGCCTAAGTAGTTCTCGAAAAGGATTATTTTAAAAATTCAATTTTATTATTGTCGGATTTTCTTATTTTTGTCAGATTTTGTAATCGCTCTAGAGGCAAAACATCACCTAGGGGTGAGATAAAAAAAAACTGCAACAAAGTCAAGTGCCATAATTTTTACACTTCTTTTTAAATTTTATTGAATGAAAGCAAAAATGTCGGAAATAGCGTCAAATTTTAGAATAAGTTTAGATTTGTTCGAATTGGTCCTTTGATCGACACTTTGGTATTTTTTAGTGCCAACCTTGCTTTCCCAAATACTCCAGACACAATAGTCCAACGGAAATGAAACGAGGAACCATTCTTGGGTGGCGCATCCACCATTGCACTCAGGATGGTCGTGTTGGAATGTCCAAGGTCTGCGGCCAACTTGTTTGCGTGCCCAAGGCTTTAATACACCCTCGCAATAATATTCAGCAATTATTCTGATGATATTCGATTAATACCAGCGAAGAGCTACCATCGGCTGTTATGGCCGCCCACACCATCACCATGGCCGGCGCTTGAGTTTTGGTGGCCAACCGAAGGTTCACATTTTCAGCTGACCTCTTTGGCAAGTAAACACGATCATTTTGTTTGTTTACAAACTGCTGGACAACGAATGTTTTCTCATCGAAGAAAACCAAATTCGGCAGTTCACCACTTTCGGCCATGCCCTTTAGCTCTTTTCAGTCTATTTTCTTTCTGTTCCATCACGAATAACTTTTTTCTGGAAAATTCTTACCAAAATGCTTTTGCACGCTTGTAAACAATATAATGAGCTGTCACTGGAAAAATTTTAACAGCTTTCGGTCGAGTGGCTTAGAAATGACAGCAGTCTGAAGATGGCTGCAATTTTTTCATCTCACCCTGTATTTTACACGGTGAAGGGGATCTGACCAAATACTTAGAACGACTGTTTAGATGATGATCAGGCAATATTGTGAGGGTCAAATCAAACAAAATCTAAAGTGACCAAATTTTTATTTTATGGCGTAAATATTCGGGAAAATAAGATTTGGAAAATATA